CCCCTTGGGGAGGGGGTAGATTTCTCACTTACACTATCTCTCTCTGTCTCTGGCAAGTATGTGCACCTTATAACATAAACAAAACAAAATAAAAACAATGTATATTCCCAGAACCTGAACTGAGAACTACAGAATCAGAACTTTGGAGGTGATACTGGTAATTGTATTTAAAGAATCCCAAGAGGAGGATGGAGGAGAAGGGACTGCTGCGTGACCATCCCCCTCAGGGAATGATTTCTCGATTTTTCACTTTCTCTCCATCTTTCTGTCTCTCTGGCAAGTACATGCACCCTATAGCAAAAATTTATCTCTTCCAAAGAAAAAAAAAAAAGCAGAATCACTCAGGAGGGTTCTGATGGCTTCTAAAGCTAAGGAATCACTGCCTTAAACCCCAGCACTATTTTTCACATCACATAGGGATACTTGTTCACCAGGGGAGATGTGAAGATATTCCATAGGTCACCCAGACATAAATAGTTTGAAGGAATCATTTTCTAGAACCTCAAATTTCATTTTACCTCTTCCAAAAACTGATCTTCTGAGTATTGCCTGTGACCTTCTCTGCCACTTCTTCCTCTTCCTCCTATCTGTACATGGTTATCTTTCTTGCTCTTCAAAAAAAAAAAAAAAGAAAGAAACGCATTTTTAAAAAGCATCTGTACTGTTTGTTGGACAATTCCCCTACCCCAATTCAATAAGCTTTCATTGAAAATATGTATATTTCAAAACAGGAGAAGAGAAGAAAAGTATAATTCTTAAATATCATGAATCTGAAAATGATCCTTTTTCTGAAAATGATCCTTTCTTCCTGGTTGTCAGTTGGGGTCATGTGTGCAGTACAGATAAGTCAGGAAGAAATAACTCCCAAGAGGGAGGCTTGAAGCAGCTACACAAAGAGAACTTGACTGAGGAGCACTGAAAATGACTTCTTTCATGATGACAATAAACATATGGCAAGGTCTCATCTATTATATCTTAGAATTCAGGAGTGAAGTGTTTGAAAGACAGTTATGATTGTGTTTATTTGATTTGAGGGAAAAATTAAATTAGATGCTTTCTATCCAAACAATCATATTGTTACTTGACTGGTCTGACAATGAGGACTAGCTTTTGCAAACCTATGACAAATCGTAAACAATGTTCAAAAATTGAATGAGCTACATCTACAGCTTCAAGGCTTTGAAGAAATATATACAAATCCACTAGAAGCACAAGCTGGTGGCAGGGTGGTTAAGACATTGGATCTCATGTTGCCAATCATGTAGTTTGAGTCCTGGTGTCTTGAGAGACATGCCAGGCATGTGTGTGCCCACCTAAAATCCTGAGTGAAAGGAGAAATAGTAGAAAAGGGATTGCAATGATCGTTCCTCATGGAGAAGGGAGATGCTTTCTGATTTTCTCTTTTTCTCTCACTCTAGCAAACACATACATTCTCTGGAAAAATTTTAAAAACAGATAAAATATAACCTTATTTTATTTCTTTTTCTTCCTTTACTTTTTTTAATTAAATGTTTTTGCCATAGGGTTTATGCTGTCACCACAGAGAGAGAGTCAGTGAGAGGGAAAGTGAGAAATCACCCCCAGGGGAGATGGCCATGTTACAATCCCTTCTTTTTCGTTTTCCTCCTGGGACTTTGGGCATGTACACACAAGTGCCTGGCATGATTTTCACTTCATACCCCAAATCTTATTTTATTTTATTATTTTATAAAGAATTATTTTATTTATTACTATAATTAAATTTACTACAGGGCATGTGCACTCACCAGAGAGATAGGAAGAGAGAGAAAGAAAGTAAGAAAGGAATTCACCAGGTACAAGACTTGGCCCACAGACAGCCTTGTGGGAGTCCAGTGCCTTAACCACCATGACATCTGCTGGTCCCCCAAATCTGTTTTTCTTAAAGCACAAATTCAAGATGGCAGGAATTATATTCTATGCACCTTATAAATGTCTGATAAATTGACATTTTTTGATGTCAAGTTAAAAGTATTCTAGGGGTTATTTGTTTCGTTTTAATATTTAGAGAGCGTGTGAACAAAATGTTTTAAAAGCGTGGCCATAAAAGACTGAAAGGAGGGGCTGGCAGGTGGCATGGTGGTTAAGGGGCTGGACTCCAACATGGCCCACAGCAGTTCAAGTTCTCTACCTGGTGGCTTGCTTTCTCACTCTCCCTCTCTCTGGTAAAATTAAATAATAAGTAAAATTAAATCAAAAATTCTAAAAAAAAAAAAAAAGAAGAAGAAGAAGAAGATTCGAAGGCTCAAGACCTTAAAAAAAACCTTAGTCACCTATAAGGCACTATAAGGCAATATACTCATATGAGTGAAGACTAGAATGAAGAAGCACAGTCACCATCCCATGGCACTGAGAGCAGCAACAGTTTATTTGTAGTAAGGGTGACAAGCTCTTCAAGTATTCTGCTGAAACCCTAGGAAAATTAGGGTAAAGCCCTATGATCCTGAGGAGAAGCTCAGAAAGGGACAAACAAGGAAACTAGAAAACAAATGCCATAGGAAATGTCCCCATAGTTGAAAAATATTACTAATTCTTAGTAATATGGAATGACTTTTAAGACGTTACCTATTTTATATTATATATATATATATGTATATGTATTTTATATTATATATATATATATGTATACATATACATATATTAAGAGAGATTTTTGCTATAGGGCTCATTCGCTCACCAGAGAGACAGAAAGGGACAGAAAGCAAGAAATCATATCCCAGGAAGTATAGCCACACCACAATCCCTTCTCTGGGTGTTTTGGGCATGTACACGTGCCCAGTGTGAGTTTTAAGCTGCCAGGTCCAGGACTCAAACTGCGATTGATTATATGGGAGTCCAATAACATAAGCATTATGCCATCTTCTGGTCCCCCTGTTTAGTATATTACCTGTCAATTATATACATCTATTAGAATTTCTTTCGACTACAATTAACAATCTTAGGCTCCTTAGGCAAGCTGTACTAGAATTTACTAGGATACTGGGTTATCTCACAGGATCCAAAGGAAGAGATGTCTCTAGATTTGAGAAATAGGCATAAACAGCATTGGTGAAGGGTCCAGGAAATTCTCTTTGCCTCTTCCCTCTGGTTCTGCTTGAGCACTATTTTTTTTTTTTTTATATCATCATAGACTGGCTGGCTGTGTTTCCCTGGTATATGGTTAAATAGTTCCAGAAAGTTCAGAATTTCCTTGTTACAGATCTATTTGGAGAGAAATACAGATTGGCCCACCACGGTCTTTTTCTGGGCCAATGAACCACAGGCAAAAGAACTAGATCACATTTTACATAGCATCATTGTGGTTTTCAAGGTTTTCAGTCACTGGGCATTACATTCATCACTTCCCTTCATCTCATATCAATGCCTTCCAGTCAAAGAATCCCAGAAACACACCTACTATTGAGTCAACGTGGGTCAACTGACTCACTGCAATGAAAAAGACCACATGTCACGGAGAACCGAGGGTGTGAGAAAGGACTTATGATAGGTTTTTAGAAATGTGTATGGGATTTGGGTTTTAACCAAGTTTAGTGAAGACAACAGATCAAGAGATGAATTCCACTGAAACATAGTTTATTATTCAGTTTCCAAAAGGAGGGTGGCATACGACACCATGTAGGAGAGAATATAGAGGTTGTTCACAGACAAGTAGCAAGCAGGAGAACTGTTGAAAAGATTTCATTGTGATTTTCACAGGAAGGAGTGTCAAGGCAATGCATGTGGGCTGACCAGGTTTAGAACTGGCTAATTGCAATAATTTCAGGGGGTCTTGGATATAGTAGCTGCTCCTACTGTCTGATTCCTGGTCCTGGGGCATTTAGGACAGGGTGTTAGTGTCTCACAAGAGTACATGGGCTCCAAATTGGTTAGTTTGCATATGAAAAGCACACTCTAGAGAATCCCTAGCTAACTGGAGGGGGGTAGGAGTGGGCACCAGCCCCTGCCTAGTCAGCAAAGCCTCAGATGTCAAACATAAGATATAGCAATTAGAAAATGTGGTTAATAGAATGGGACTTCAAAGTGTTCATGGAGGGGCTGGATGGTAGTGCATGGAAAAATACAATGCTCTGCAAGGCCGACACATATGGAAAGGTTTAAAGTTTGCACCCAGAGACCTACCTGTGTACATTGGGCACTCATGTGACTATGGCCGAAGCTGGGGGGGATCTCAGCATGAAGAGGGTAACTGTCTCTTTTTTTCTTCTCTTTTTATTGCTCATGGAAAACAAAATTTTAAAATTACATGCGTTCTTTAAAGGACCAGATGGTGGTATAATAATATAACTGGACCTACCATGGGGAAAGTCCTGAGTTCATAGCTTTAGACCACCCTAAGCATGTCAGAAGCATGCCTACATGTTTGTGATCTGGTCCAGCTGAGCTGGGGTTGGATTGTGGTATGAAGATACTATTGGGATGCCTCCCTTTCTCTCTCTCTTGCTCATAGGTGAAATACACTTTTTTAAAAAGCTCATAGAAAATGGAATTAAAGTACAAGTTCATTGTGGTGCAAGAAAATTTGAAATTCATGCACAGTTTTTTATAAAACACATTTCCATGAACTTCTTAAAGACTCCCCTCACATAGTTGGATTTAACTTTGTGTTGGAAAACTTTAGGATGGTTCAAGGAGTGTGGACTTTGCCCAACATTAGGTGTTGTAAGCAGCAGGATAATTCTACCATTGGCTATTTTAGTAATGTTTCTCTGGATAGTGGAAGGGATAAGCAGACCTAATGCTACAATGATTAAAGAAGTAGCAGAAAGTACCATTTAAATTAGCCAGAATAGAGAGACATTTGTTCTTTTCTGTGATTTTTGGACAATATTCTTGTTTTGGTGTGGCTTTTTTTTTTCCTTATTTTGTTTTTTTGATATTCAGATGTAACAATGGAGTAAGTTTTTTTTTTTTCCTTTCTTCTGTGAGATCAGAAGAGAGGGAGTGTAAACCCCCCATAGGGCCCCAATGCCATAATCCACCCTAGCCATCAGCCAGCCGTGCATCATGGTCAACGTCTTCCCTGTGTGCTTAGGTAAGTACTCCTATTATCCCTGTTTCCCAAATGAGGAAACGAGTCACAAAGTCAAGAAGCAGAAGAACCTTGGTTCCCAGCTACTTCATGATTCTACTTCCTCCCTAGCATAAATACTGCAGGAACATAGCACTTCCTTCTGAAACTACGTGGCTAAAGCTAAGGAGAAAACTAATGCTGAAAAGGGGGTGCTAGACAAATAATCCAAACGATGTCCACTATTCTACAAATATGTCTGAGTGGATTAGTAAGTAATTACACCAGTCATTGTTTGTAGTGTTATATTGATAATATAACTAACTTCCTTTTATGATGTCTATAATCTAAGTAAAAAGTAAGATTCAAGAGTTAAAACAAAAACACATGAACCTGGGAAATCTAAACTGAGCAGCTGGACACAACCTTGTTAACTTAAATAGGAACTATTTACCATGAGGATTCTAAGAATTAGGTTTCAAACAGTACAAATGGCAGCCAAAAGGAACAATTCCTGTTGGAATAATCTTTTTATAAGCAGCTTATTTGCAACATATGTTACAATTTTCTTGTACTGAGTTCACTAATTCATGGAAGAAATTATTATAGATGACTAAACTGTAATCTAGCAAGCTCAATATATTTCTACTCATGTTGTCCTTGAACAAGAAAATTACAAATAGCCTGATTTCACTGGGTCTTGGCACTCATAGGCAGGACACAAAAATGACTTCCTAAAACTTTGTAAAGGAATACAAAGAACTTAAGAGATAAGCAGTTATATACTAAGGGTCTTATTTTGTCAATACCACAAAACCATTGAAAAATGATGATGGTTCATGTCAAAATGGAGCACTTCATATAAAATAGATATAAAAATCTCCAATCTTATGACTACCACATGTCTCCGATTCCTCTATTGAGCTTGTGAGTTTGGCATGTTATAAATCCAAAGCAACAGGTTGAGATAAAATAAGCAAACATCCATACACATAATCCTGAATATGAAAAACAGAAGAGTTACAGAAGTATGTAAATACTTCTATGTACGTGTATTTACTTTAGCATTGTTACATCATACAGATCGAATGCATAACTGGTGGAGGAAGAAACTGCTTCAGGTTTAAAAAGTGACAAGTTTAGAAGAATTCAGAGTATGGTAAAAATGCCAAAGCTATGAGCTGTATTTTCCCAAGAGTTTGAAAGTATTTATGAAATTAAAACAAGTACTTATTAAGCAGCAAATTAAGTACTAGAGTTATTTCAGTCAATTCTTAAAAACCACAGGGTAAATACAAAGAAACAAATAGAAAAGTCTCAAATGGGGAAATGTTTCTAATACTTTAGTCCTTTTAAATAAATGCCTGGGAATTCTGATAGATGAAAGAAAGTTTAACAATAGGAAATTCAGGCGCATACACACACATAAAATTCCATGCCACAAGAAGAATTAGTCTTAAAGTCTAAGATGTAATAATACAAACAAAAATAACAATAATCATAACAATTTATTTATTCTCTGAGAATCAAGAGGTTTACAATGATGAATTTAAAACCACTTATCTCTAAAATGGTCATAAATATTAATATTTTAGATATTAAATATTTCCTAATCAAGACAATTATGACATTTTTTCTTTCTGAGAAATTTTTGCAATAGGTCATGTGTGCTCACCAGAGAGACAGAAAGCAAGAAATCTCCCGCCAGATGGGATAATCATGCCATAATCCCATCTCCTCCATTCTCCTCTCAAAATCTTGGGCATTGTACTCACATGTGCTGTTGTGAGTTTTAAGCCACTGGGTCCGGGACATGAACCACAGTCAACCATGTAGGAGTCCAGTGCCTTAACGACCTGCTGACCCTGAGACAGTTATAACTGTTACTATATGGTTACCTAAATCCAGTGAGAAGCGGAAGGTTATAACACAACTTTTATTGAATCCAGCAGTAATGTCCCATTTTCTTTCTTTTTAAAAAAATTTTTTAACACATTCAGTCACTGTATAACATTAGTTTGCAAAATAAATTTTCCCAGTGTGACTACACTGTATTGCGGCGTGACCATCCCCCCTGGGGGGTGATTTTTCGCTTTCTGTCTCTATGTCTCTCTCTGGCGAGCGCACGCGCCCTACAGTGAAAAGCTCTCAAAAAAAAATTTTTTTAACACATTCATTCACTGTATAACATTAGTTTGCAAAATGAATTTTCCCAGTGTGCTACACTGTATATTATTAGTCCAGTTAAAGCATTTTCATACACGATATCAACAGGTAATTTTCCATTTTTGTGTCCCTTAAGAGTTTTGCTTCTTTTTACCCTTGATGTCCCACTTTATTTCAATAAGAGCAAAAAAAGCCCACACTGGATTCATAATTGCTTTTTTTTTTTAAAAAAAAAAGCAACTTTAAAACTGGCATGCAGAAAAGTGTGGATCTTTAAAAGACATGATTTGATAAATTTGGGCATATACGCTTGTGAAATCATCACCACAATCAGGATAATGAACATATATGCTCCAGGAAGTTTCCTCATGTCCTTTATAATTTCTCCCTGCCATCCCTCCCTCCTTAGGCAACTACTCATTGATCTGGTTTCTGTCGCCATGCATTGCTTTGCATTCCCTATAAATGTAATCGCCTCCCTCCTCAGGGTTCAGGCCTGCTTTACTCAGCATAATTATTCTGAGATCTATCCATGTTGTTGCATGTATCAGTGGTTCGTATGCTTTATTGCTGAGTGGTAATTCACTTATGGATATACCTATTTGTTTATGCTTTCACATGTTAATGAACATTTGTTTTTTTCCTAGTTCAGGGCTATTATAAATAGATACTATGAACACTAGTGTAGGAATCTAAATATGGACATGCCTTTTCATTTATCATGAGTAAAGAATTAGGAGTGGAATTACTGAATCACATAATAGGCTTATGTTTGACTTTTTAAGAATCTGTCAAACTCTTTCCAGTATGTATCATCTTATATCCCCACCAACAGTGTTTAAGCATTCCAGTTCCTCCACGTCCTCACCAATCCCAGGTAGTTAATAGGTTAATTGTAGTTAATAGGTGGGTACTTGTTACCTATTATATGTTTAATTTGTATTTCCATAATAACTAATGGTGGTGACCATCTTTTCATGTGCTATTTGCCATCTTTATGTCTTCTTTGGTGTGTTGGGAGAAAGAATCAAGGAAAGTCATAACGACAAAGAGTCAGGAGGCTATAAAGGAACGGAATTTGGTATGTCTCAAGCTGCTGCTTGAGATATAAACCTTGGTTACCTTCACCCTTTGGCTACAGGCACCTGGAATGACTAGGTAATTACATTGTGTCCTGAAGCTCAATATATGCATCAAGATGTTACCTGACTCTTGTTTTATGGGTCTTTTATCTTCATCTTCCACTGGTCATATAGTCTTCATAGTCCTTGCTTGTTCACAGACTCAGTCGAAGTTTCGATGGTAATTTCATTTACCCTGCAGTGATGTAAAGCTTTTTGTCTATATGAACTCCCAATTTTCAAACATCTCTAGAGCATTCCTTTGGATTTGTGTCTCCCAAATTACAATTCCTAAGACCTCACAGTTCTTTGTTCTTTATAGATTCAGTGTTTGAACTGATCAACACTGGTCAACTGTTTGACTCTCCATACCATTTTAAAATTGAGTTGCTTTCTCATTGAGTTTGAAAGTTATTTATTTCCTCTGAGAGAAAGTGAGAGAAAGAGAGTACATCCAACAGGTTCTCCATGACACAACCTACCTCCAGTCCCGGCAGGCCCAGATCACCTGATGTGCTCAGGACATAACTCAGGACCTTTCCCATGTCAATTCAGTTGTGTTACTGTTACACCACCACCAGGTTCTAAGTCTTTACGTATTCTGTATACAAGTTCTTCATCAGATATTCAAACATTTGTGAATATTTTTTCCTAGTCTGTAGCTTGTCTTTTCATTCCCTTTGCAGTGCTTTTGAGAAGCAGAAGTTCTTAATTTTCACTAAGTACAGTTTTTAAATTTGTTCTTTTATGGACAATGTTTTTGGTGTCATATCTAAGAAGTCCTGATTTACCCAGGCTCGTGAAGGATTTCTGTTTTCTTCCAGATGTTTTATAGTTCTAGATATTACATTTAGGTCTATCAATCATTTTTCTAGTGTTTTGTTCCATAAAATCTACTTACCTTGTCTTTGCTAAACTCACACTTCCTTCTCTCAACTTCAGTACTGACTGGCACTGTTTATATATTTTCCCTCCTTATCCACAACCTTTTCCCAGGGAGTAATCTGGGCTAACTGTAAGGGTTGTCTAATTTTCTTCCCACCTCTCAAGAGTCACTATACCTTATTGCCTGGTGTCCGATGTCTTGAGTTCCAACGTCTCGTGTATTTTGTCTAGTTCTTCAACTGTTTCAGGCAGGAAGGTAAATCCATCCCCTGTTGTTCTAACCATACATGGAAGCCCTGTAAACTTTTGAACTTTAGCAAAATTGCCTTCCTTTAGTGGTGAAAGGAGAGTTTGCCGCCTGAAGTTAGAACATGTTACCACATTCCTCTAAATTGTGTTCTTTTCTCGTAAACTCCAAACCATGTAATAGCCTTTGACAATTATGGATATTTCTGTACCCTTTGAACTAGCTGACACAAAAACTTGTACTAGTAAAGGTTTAACCTATCCTTTTCTGAGGGTCCTTTTCCTTACTACAGTTTATTTACTTACTTACTTACTTATTTATTTATTTTTATGACTTAGACCCTGTGAGATGAGCATCTAGCATCTCATAGCCTTTTGTGAATGTCTCATTGAGTTTGGCCCCAGTAGACTGAATAGAGTAAGTAAGTACATTACTTCAGTTAAGGCCATCTGAATTTGAAATAAAATATGCCATAATTTGCGCCACCCTAGATTATATAATATACATTTGACAATACCAGCAAAACAACATTTTTGAGCTATTTGAATTCTCTTGTGGGTTTAACTATGGCTATAAAATAAACTGTGTTTTAGAAAAGAGCATAG